TTGAGCTCATTTCGGATATTCCTTAGACTTGCATAGTATTCCTCCAAGCTTTGATTGCCTTGCTTCGAATTAAAGTACCCTTGATACAACTGATACACCCTAGTTGTATTGTCTTGTCCGGAGTATAGCTTCTTAGCATGATCCCAGATTTCTTTAGCTGTATCTAGGAACATAAAGTTCACACAAATTTTTGGTTCCATGCTATTCCATAGCCATGTCATTATCTGTGCATCTTCCTGTTCCAGTCACTGAACCCCGGAGAATCAGAGGAAGGTTTCTCCTCTCTCACATGTTTTACCCTTCTCTTGGCCTTTAAGAACACTTCCACAAATTTTGCCCACGGCACATAATTCTCACCATTCAACTTAATAGATGTCATTTGAATATTTAGGTAGTTTGGAGAAAGCACAACGCCGGTTTTGTTGTCATTCCCATCACCAATCGATGCCATCTTAACTAATTCACCTTCCAATATGCAACACAACCTCATGCACTTCCACAAAACTTATCTCACTTTCAGCACCACCAACTTCTTCAAATACACATTGCACATAAAATACTAAAGCTGAAATCACTCAGTCATTACATCAAACACCTGTACTGCACACTGCTGAACCATTCACCCACCAAATATAAGGGTTGAAGTCACTTAGTCATTAAATCAAACACTTGTACTGCACACTGCAGAACTATTCTCACACCAGATACAAGGATTCACTTTTAAATATTCAAAATCATTGATACACCATTCAGCACAATACAACTACCACCACACCACTGCTGTTGTGAACTTCAGCAGTCGAAAAAGCCCTACTTTCAGCACACATATGAGGTAAAAACAGAGAAAAACAGGACCGATATGTATACTAGTCACTCCAAACCTCCACAAGGAAAAATTTTGAACCAAAACACAGCATTCACAGTCCACTACTTGGGCAAACGACAGCACTGTTCATACCTATCCACAAACAGCTCTTTTCACATCACAGAATAGAGGGCGTCTAGCACACCACTTCAACGACCACCACCACAATAACTGGAGGCATACTCACCTCCAAAACCACAAAACGACGACTCCTTTCTGGCCCCTTGTCGAGCTTCCACTCAGGCTAGCAGAAATTTGAAGAAGGCTGAAATAGTTGGCGGCGAACCCAGGAAGAAGACAACAGCAAGGAAGAATGAAAGGAGAGAAAGGTTTTACTGCTCTGATACCATGTAAGAAAACCCTATTCGATTCTAGGTTAAAGTAGAGAAGAAGAAGAAGAAGAAGAAGAAGAAGAAGAAGAAGAAGAAGAAGAGAAGAAGAGTTCGGCCAGATTAGGAAGGAGAAAAATCAGTCCTCCCTAGCCGATCCACTTGTATTTATTTCAAATAATAGAGTTACAAGAAAGACCATATTGTCCCTCATGGAAGATGGGACACATAACTTAAACTTAAATAAAATAGACCTTTCACTCTCAAACAGATAAACCAAAATGACCAAAATACCCTTGATTCGTGTATTCTAACATACATGATTGAAAATGTTTTATTTGTTTGATTATAAAAAAAATGTTTTATTTGTTTGTTTTTTTTTGTTAAATTTTCATTTGAATATGCTTTACATGTTATGTTTATAGGTGAAAACTGAATGGTACAACATATTGGTTTCAGCCCTTCAATGAGACATTAGCCAACCTCAATGAAGGTTACAATAGTACCCAAAAACAATTGCTGTCTATTTTTTCTAGAACAAAGTTATAGTAGTGCCCAAAACATCTGCCGTCTATAGTCTTACTTTATCTTTACTGCACAACGAATGGTTAGAATAAAACAAGTTAGGCTTACTAGTCATATCATTGGAAGCCCTAGAGTTAATGGTCAGAGGGAATTTTGAAGAAAGATATGATACATGGAAAGCGGTAGCCTAGTTACCTGATGTAGATGCACATGAAGTAGATGGAGTGATGGAAGTCTCCTCTAGCCAAATTAACACCTTACCATACTGCTCAATGTGATCTCTCATAGTATTTATAAAAAAAAAGGGTGATCTCTCGTAGTGTATGGTAAATCCTCCCATGGTACTAAGCTTACTAAATGATCCTGAGAAGGAGCTATAGTGGTAAGGGACTTGGACTCTAGGGAAGCTACATTGATCAAGTTATACTTCTTATTTTCTTGCTTCTTCATTAACTTCTTGGGTCTCCTAACAAGGTTCCAACATGCCTCCTTGGTGTGCCTAGCTCTTTGATAGTGAGCATACCATTATCCTTGTCCACCTCTTCAACTTTCTTATTTCTATTAGTCTTCTTAACACCATCACTGCTCCTCTTTGTTGCCAATGCAATCTGCTCCCACTGAATGGGATTCATGGCTAACTTCCTACTCTCCTTAGATTGTACAAGGCCGACTTTTTTCAAATGGAATAATTTTTATTGGTAAATAAAATAAAAATTTAATTAAAAGGAAAAATAGAACACAAGAAAAGTGATAAGAAGTCACCTAGGAGATGAAAATAAAAGCACTCCCAAAGCAAAAAATGACCCTCTTGAGTAAATGAAACACCCCAACTTCAAACTTTTCCACCCCAACAACAACTCTAGCTTCCAAAAGAAAATATAAATACTTCTTCATAAAAACTAAGGGGCCATTTAGTAATAGCTGAAATGGCTGAACTGAAAAGCTTATTGCTTTGTCTTTTAGTGAATAAGTTTTTAAGGGGGTTGTGGGTTCCTTAGTAGCTAAGATCAAGTTGGGTAAAATACTATACCCTTGAGTATTTGGGGAGTACAATTCTCTTGTTGAAGGAGTGCTCTTGCTCTTTAAAAACCAGTCGAATGATAAATGATGAGCAGAGGGAAGATGACTGAATTTGGGTGGTAGCCAAGTACAAGAGCAATAGGAATTTCCATTGCTTCCAATTTGAAGTTTTGAACAAGTGAATAGATGGAAAGTGGCTTTCTCCTAGTCTTTGCACTTCTGGGTTGCAATTAAGGGTGGCAACGAGCTGCTCGAGCTCGGCTCGGCTTGGTTTCAAATGAACTCGAGCCCAATTCATTGGCTTGATTATTAAACGAGCCGAGCTCGAACCAACTAGAGCTTGGCTCGTGAGTTTCGCAAGCCGGCTCGAATATATATATATTTGATATTTAATATATAATAAAATTATAGAAAATAATATATATAATAAAAATATTATAATTATTAATTATTATAATTCTTAATTTTTTAATTATCAAATAAAAAATGTTTTTATATATAATTTTTTATTTTTATAAAATATTTTTTCTCAAAATCTAGCTCGAGCCGAGCCGAGCTTGAGCTTATGAATTTTTGACTCGAACCGAGCTCGAGCTCAAGGTTCTAGCTTGAACCAAGCTTGAACTCGAGCTCGAGCCTTGTAGAACAGTCGAGCCGAGCTCGAGCCTAGTACTATTCGGCTCAACTCGGCTCGAATCCACCCCTAGTTGCAATGACAAGGCCAACAATGTAATACCCATCTCTTGATCTTTGTGGAATTAAACTCTACATAGGGGTGTAAACGGATCAGATTTGAATCGAATAAGGCAATATCCGAATTTGAATCCGATATTCGAATTCAATTAAATATTCAAATATTTGATTCGATTTGAATTTAACCAATTAATTATTTTAGGTAATTAATAAATATATAAAATAAAAATTTTATTTGTTTAAAGTATATAAATATATAAATTATTTATATAATTTAATTATTATATAAAACATTTAAACATTTTATATATTATATATAAGAATTAAATAATTAGTCAAATTCAGATATTTATCGAATCGAATAAGGTCATATCCGAATTCGAATCCGATTAGTTATTCGATATGAATAGGATATCCGAATTCGACTGATTAGATATTCGAATTATTCGAATTTTGAATCGGATTTTCGAATATCGTTGACACCCCTAACTCTGCATCGTCAAATGTGCCAACCAGGTATTTGCACAAGAAAGCTTCCTTGTCTTTGTTTCCCTTCTTGCTCACTGCCACCCTATTTTCCTCAACCCCTTGCTTGAACTGATGCCCAGTCCCTCTCTTTCTCCAAATTTACAATGTCCATGATTTTCTCAAGAGAAAGAGAAAGAGCAAGTAGTTTCATGGTAGGCATAAGAAATGAATGGCAGCATAGAGTGGACAAGGGGTCTGGATGGAGGTATAGAATACTTAAATCAGAAACCAAAGGAAAAGGAGGACACATGGAGAGAAGCAAGGCTAATGTGGAACTGAGTCACTTTCCTGGTAATAGAGGTGGCATGTGGGACTGTAGTTAACCAGCACTCGGTTTATCATCTCTACTTTTGGCAATATCTTATTATTTTACTATTATCAACTGGATGTTCCTTACTGCCGAGAATCACTCGCATTCCTATCCTCCCATTTAGCATCTCTTCTTCACTACTCAACTGGTGTCTTGCTATTGGGAATTTGAGATTTCAAAATAAGAAGTGTCTCCATACACTAAACAGGTGGTAAGTTTCTTCACTACTGGCCAGCACACAAAGTATATCTTGTTCTTGTGGCAGCTTTGCTCTTTGCCTGGCCTTTATGGTTCAGATGCTTATATTTTTCTCACGCCTTTTCATACAACATTTAATTTTCAATAAAATAAATTAACACGATTTATGTAATGGATGCTCTCATGTATGGTGTCTTCCAGGAGAAAACTCCTGTTTAATTCAAAAGTAAATGATACATGTTTTATATTTTTGTTTAATTAATAATGGACATGATGACAGAGTCATTTCGTGGGCTCAATTTATATGGACTCTGGGTCAATTTATATGGAGTCTGTCTCAATTTATATGGCATCAAGCCTATTAATAATAGCTTTCTTCAACCTAACTCTTATTCTACATATCCTTATGCCCTTTTTCTTTACATTCTGATTTGGCATAACCGGTCCCTTTTTCTGGCCCTTGCGGATGCAATGTCTCTGCTTGAATACTTAAATGGTTAGTACTGACCTTTCTTTGTTGTGCCAAGTGCAGATCATGAGTGAAGTTTCATTTCAAGATAACCATGTGAAGATTGCTGTTCTTGCAGATCCCCAAGTATGTACAATATGTATTCCTTTTTTTGGTTTTTGATCAGTAACAGATAAAGCAATCTTATTGCTATATGAAATGAAAATATGAGGTTATGCTCTTCTGCAAATGAAAATATTTAAAAATGAGCAAGGAAAAATTGTTGCTCTATTATCTGGTCATAGGGGTTAGGTGATGCTCTAAGAACTGAGATACTGGCTGTCATGGAAGGAATTCAGAAAGCAAAGGACTTGAATATTCACAAGCTTTCAATTGAGGAAGACTCAAAGTTAGTGAAAACTGAAAAGGAAGGGGATGAGGGATGGTGGGAATATATTCATGAGAAGAGAAGAATCACCCAGATGCTACAAGGAATGGAGGTTACCCTACAATGGGTGAAAAGAGATGCTAATTCTTTGGCAAAACAAAGGGTGGGAAGAAATCATTTGTTTTGGGATTGTTTGTAATTTGCACATCTCTCGGGGGAGTTAAGAGAGTGTATCTCTCCCTTCTGTCTTGCTGTGCACCTTTCTATTTTACTTAATGAATACGATTCTGCTATTGATAAAAAAAAAATAAATAAATAAAAACAGTGACAGCTCTTGGCTCTACAAACAACAAATAAGGGAGAAGTAAGAAGGCTAGCAAGTGAGGTTGAGGCCAACTTTAAATGGATCAACAAGTCCACAAATACAATGGCGAAGGAAGGGATGCATAGGGCACAATTAATTTGGGCTTACCTAATCTCTCAATGGGTCTTGGCTCGGTTTAGGAGCCTTGTACTTATTTTTTCTGCATAAAATTCTACTCTTCTTCTTTGGCTGCCAAGGCCTGTCACTGTTGTTGGCCATCCAACCTATCGCCAGTGCTGAATTACCTTCCACTTCTGAAGGTCTCAAGTTTAGATGCTTTGCTATCTTTAAACCTTGCAGAAGGGCAAGAGATTAGCAAAGGATATAAGTGCTGATTTTAGGTGGATCAGGAGGAGTGCAAATGGGTTAGCAGATACTTTAGCCAAACAAGGGGCTGCAAGGCAGCAACTATATTGGGCCTTGTTGTAACTTGGGTTGTAATCCTTGGGGATGACTATTGGGTCATCAGTCTAACAATCTTTTTGCTGATAGAAAAAACCTTGCAGAAGGACAGAGAGTTCTGCTAGTGGTGAATCTGAAATCTCAATTAGACGAGAAGAAAATGCAACAATCGTACCCCTACCATCTTTGAGAACTCTTCCTATACCTGAAGGTCCTGGCTTTCCAAAGGAGCTAGCATCAAAATTCAACGTGATTCTGTTATTTCTTGGTGGAATCAACTCCTCTTTCACTGTTGCTTTCTGAAGAGAGGAAGCTGCTATTATTCCCCAGCCTCTAAAAAGCATCCAAAGCTGCTATTAGCATCTGGCACCCACCTGCAACCAAAGAGAAAAAAAAAACTCCCAAACACGAGACACAAAAAAGCAGCATATTAGTAATAAAATATGGATTCACCGTTAGCAAAGCACAAGAAACAGATATGGTACTTCTCTTGCTTCTCTTCTCAAAGCACTCTTGTTCCAAATCTTTAAACATAGCTAAGAAACTAAGGTTATAGACAAAATAGTACGTTGTGAAGTTGTCTTGTAAACCTTAAGAGTCAAAACTACATGATAGAATGAGTTCAAGCAAAATTTAAACTTATAGAAAATGCGAATGATTCTTTTTTTGAAGAGTAAATAAAAAGAATTATTAAAATAAAAAAACAGGTACAAGCTGTTCAGGTGTCTAGATAACAGCCAGCAAATAAAAGCAAAATACATTAAAATTCAGTTCAGACTAAACTAATTCGCATTACAAGTTTGAATCTCTAACAAGTCCCAGAAATTCTCAGCAAAGTCTGAAGGACTGATTTGCTCCAATTCTTGAAGGGAGATGACCCAGCTTGTGATGAGTTTTCCAACTGATGCCACCAACTCTTCAATGCTCCTTTCCATTCTTTCAAAGAGCCTCTTGTTCCTTTCCCCCCACGAAGACCAGCAGACTGCAAAGCCACAAAGGGAATGCAGCTCCAGGAAATTTTAGCTTTCAAACTTCCTCTAAACTTGCCATGTAGAGAATATCTCTGCTGATGTTGATGGTTGGAATATGGGCATCCCAAAGAGGAAAAAATAGAATATCCAGATGAAATTTACTAAGTGGCAGGAGAAGAACAAATGGAATACAGTTTCCTCATCTGATTTGTACATATAGCAATAGCTAGCCAAGTAGAACCCTCTACTTTTTAGATGATCTGTTGTGAGAACACTATCCAATGCAACCAACCAAGCAAAAGCTTCCATTCTTAGGGGCACTGGATTTCCCCATATTCCATTCATTTTTCTCATTGTTTACACTGTCCTTGATGAGAATCAAGTAAAATGACTTAACTGTAAATTTTCCATTTCTGCTTTCCTTCCACCACAAGCCATCTTCACTAGTTGTAGAAATTCTGGTTTGCCTATACAATCTTGGGGCTCCAAACCACCTTATCACCACTAACTTCATAATATTGGGCCACAGAGTATACAATATTGGGCACAGATCACACAGTTACCCAACCCCACTCCAATCATCCTCCCAGAATCTCACTCTGGATCCAGTTCCTACATTAAAACTAACCAAGCGTTCGAACTCCTGGTTGAAACTCATTATGCCCTTCCACACACTCACACCGTATCAATTGGATGCCTCCCTTGGTTCCCAACTAAATCTCACCACCCCTTACTTCCCTACCACCACTAATGACTCCTTTTCCTTTTCTAGCCCAAACCTCCATAGCCATTTCCCCATAAGAGCTTTTGTTGAAAATTTTTATTCTTCTGGAACCCAACCCCCCTAAAGTTTTCGGTGTGCAGATTTTCTCCCACTTTACCAAATGAAAATTCCTTGGACCCGTTGTCCCTTCCCAAAGGAAATCCCTCTGAATTTTTTCTATTTTATTAGCTACAGAAATTGGTATTTTCAATAGTGAGAGGTAATAAGTAGGTAGTCTCCCAGAGCCTGGTTTGAAAGATTCACAAGGTTCGTTAAAAGTCAAGGATATAGTCAAGGACAATCTGATCATACTCTTTTCACAAARARATCCACCAAAGACAAGGTTTCGGTTCTGATTGTCTATGTTGATGATATAATCTTGACTGGAGATGATATTGAAGAGATGAACAGACTAAAGCAGAGCTTAGCCAATGAATTCGAGATTAAAGACTTAGGCTAGCTAAGGTACTTTCTTGGAATGGAAGTGCCTAGATCAAAGAAGGGCATTGTGGTTTCACAAAGAAAATATATTTTAGATCTCTTGAAAGAAACTGGAATGAGTGGATGCAAACCTTCAGATACTCCGATAGAAGTTAATACTAAAGTTGGAGAAGTTAAAGATGGGGTTCCAGTAGATACAGGAAGATACCAAAGGCTGGTAGGAAGATTGATTTACTTGTCACTTACACGTCCTGATATTGCCTTCGCTGTGAAGCAGGAAAATGACTCTTCTTCAAGAAAAATGATAAGAGAGGGGTTGAGGTGTATACAGATGCGGACTGGGTAGGCTCGATTACTGATAGGTCAACTTCGGGGTACTGCACATTTCTTTGGGGAAATTTAGTTACTTGGAGAAGCAAGAAGCAAAGTGTAGTTGCTAGAAGTAGTGCTGAGGCTGAATTCAGATCAATGGCTCAAGGAGTGTGTGAGGTTCTTTGGCTAAAGAGGTTACTAGCAGATCTTAAGATACCAGTAAGCTTTCCTATGAAACTGTATTGTGATAACAAGGCATCTATCAGCATTGCTCATAATCCGGTTCTACATGATAGGACTAAACATGTTGAGCTTGACAAACACTTTATAAAGGAGAAGCTTGATGAAGGAATAATCTACACTCCATTTGTACCAACCACGCATCAAGTTGCAGATATTTTGACTAAGGGCTTGTTGGGACAGCCATTTGAACTTCAAGTTAGCAAGTTGGGCATGATAGATATCTTTGCACCAACTTGAGGGGGAGTGTCGACAGATTAAGAAAGACAGGATTTGCTGTCGACAGATTAAGAAAGAGAGGATCTGCGGTAAAATAAGAAAGATATGGTTAAGAGATTTGAATAAATTTAGGAAAGTCATATCCTTGGATTAAGGGAAAGATTTAGTCAATCTCTGATTGAGAGAAATTCTAGGGGTTTGTCTTTCCTATCTTTTCTTATTTAAGGTGTATGCTCAATATGTTTTTATCATCAATAAAGAAAATCTTCTTCTTTTCTCCCTTTCTATTTCGCAACATTTATGAAGTTAAAGTTGAAACTGTAATCATTCATGGAGAGAGAGAGAAAGAGAAGAGAAGAGAAGAGAAGAGAAGAGGAAGATATGATTGAGAGACACAAAAAAGCCTCCTTTGGCGGCTGCCGGTTTAGTTATTTATATTAAATTAATATAAAAGGAATGGGAGATTACAAGTATGCCCTTGGTGGCACTCCCTAGTAACAAACTAATAAGAAAGAAATAAACTAACTGGCTGACAGCACACTAACGACAACTGTAAAATAACAATTAAATAATCCTCACAACACTCCCCCTCAAGTTGGGCTGAATATGTCTATCATGCCCAGCTTGTCACATAACTCATTGTGCCGCGAGTATGGAATTCCTTTTGTAAGGACATCAGCAAGTTGTTCCTTGGAGTTGGCATAAGGGAGGCAAATTTCCCCTTTTTTCTAATTTTGCCCTTATGAAGTGTTTGTCCACCTCAATGTGCTTGGTCCTCTCATGTAGGACAGGGTTGCTGGCGATGTTTATGGCTGCCTTGTTGTCACAGTAAAGAGACATAGGATTATGAACAACAACTCCAAGCTCCCCTAGAAGATTTTTTAGCCAAAGGACTTCAGCCATCCCATGTGTCATAGCTCCATATTCAGCTTACAACACTTGACCTTGCTACTACACTTTGTTTCTTGCTTTTCCAGGTCACTAGGTTTCCTCCCACAAATGTGCAATACCCACTTGTGGACTTTCTATCATCCACAACACCAGCCT